AAAACACGATTTAATAAAGTTATTCTTTGTAAGTTTGACCATATGTGGATAGTCACGGTAACAGAAAATAATTGAGAAGCACTGGGTTAACCTCCTGAGACCCTGTGTCCTCATAAGAGGACGTTGCATTTTTGTCTCTCTTTACCATGATACTTCTTTTTTTCTTTCAGCTTTGACCTCTTGGCCTCATAGCAGATGCTATCAGACACTGTTTGAAATCTAAAGTAAAATGGTTTTATACATTTCCATCCAATCATGTTCTTATTGTGCAATAGAAAAAATGTAAATAAGTCAATGGGACTGTCAGAACAACATTGTAAAAACATTTAATTAAATATGTATCTCATATATCTTTAAAAAAAAAGCTAAAATGCATGCCAAATAAAAGCTCGGGTCTCAGGAGGATAAGGGGAGGGACAGGGTCAGGGGGGGGGATCTGTCGGGGGGCGGTTGGATAAGGGAGGGGGACCAGATCAGGTTAGGGGGGGCAGATAAACTCACAGTAGCCCCCCGACTCGTCCAGGATCTCGGACTTGATGATCTCCTCGATGACGTCCTCCAGAGTGACCAGCCCCAGAACCTCGTAGAACGGGTCGCCCTCCCCCTCGTTGTTCACCTTCTGGACGATGGCCATGTGCGAGTTTCCTGGGAGACGGACAGGAGGAGATAGGGGTGGGACGGTTCACAAAATCCACGGTTCGGTTCGGTTCACGGTTTCGTGGTCACTGTTTTCGGTTCGGTTCGGTATATGGTGATTGTTAGGAAAATCTATTATGTCTTGTATAGTCAGGTTAAAACTGAAAGAAAAAAGCAGTCTGACTTTTGATACATTATTGTGACAGTCTTAGGTTAAAAGTAGCTGAGATTCTGGCATTAATAGAGAGGAAACAGTGCTAATTCCAGCATGTGCTTCCCTCTAAATGCAAAGTGGTCCATACAGCAGACCTAGAAACTGCTGTTGGCACGTCTGATTTTTATCGGCTACGCTGCTTCTTCTTCTTCTTCTGGTTTCCTACTGGTGGTTGGCTTTGGGTGCAGTAGCGCCCCCTTCTGCTCTGGAGTGTAAACGCTTCCCTCTGAGAAAAAGGAGCAGCATGAACCCAACGCAACACTTGAGAACCGAACCGAGACAGTCCAACCCAACGGTTCAGACGGTTTTCAGAAACCGTCCCATCCCTAGCAGGAGAACACACCTGAACACCAACCTCCACATTCTGCACACACCTGGTCTGAGGGAGGGGCTCAGGGAGCCATCTTTGTTAGTCTGGAGAAAGCATGACTCAGCAGCAATTGCTTTGCTTCCTTTTCCACTTATTTTGGGTTCTTTTGCTGCTTCTTCTTCTAAATTTTGTTGTTCTTCTAAGTTTTTCTACTTTTCCCACACATTTCCATTGATATTCTGTCTTTTCCACTTATTTTTGGTTGATTTTCAGCTTTTGCCACTTATTTTTTATTGTTTTGCTGCTTCTTTGACTTATTTCTGTTCAACCCCCCCTTTGGTTTTTCCCCCTAATTCTTATTATATATTAACCCGACTCAGCATTTTTAGTCATTGTTTTGCTACTTTTTTAAAAACTTGGTTCTTTTGCTGCTTCTTCTACTCAATTTTGTTTGTTTTTCTACTTTTTCCACACATTTTCCATTGATTTTCTGCCTTTTCCACTTATTTTTGGTCGTTTTT